TAACAAACCCTCTAAAGGGTAAAGTGCGATCGGAAACTCCACACCCAGTAAAAACAGCTGCGGGGGCAATCTACAGAAAGAGCGATATCGCCGAATCAAAGATTGACACCAGTGACCTCAGAGACAAAAGCCCGAAAAAGGATGAAGCTAGAAGAAGCCCCCATGGAGACGAGCCAAAATCAAAAACAAAGAAGAAATACGGCGGAATAACTTCTTTGATGACAATTTGGCAGAAAAAAAAACAGACCAGAGGACAATTGAAACGCGAGGGCACCTGCACAAAAACAAAAATCTGTTCAAAACTGAGTACTTAAACTCATAGTTATTTTAAATTTTATAAGTAAATTATATAAAATTTTATTATCCCAAGGGAAGTGTGGTACAGAACATACTGCATGTGCAGTAATTATGTTAACCTCGCTGCACACTAATCTTGGGACGCATATCGTTATCTGTAATTATATATATTGTTACTAAATGTATGTCAAGGTCACTCAGTGTTGATCACTGAATAGATCTTAGTTTTACGTTAGCTCTGCGTACGATGATACGACTAAATGAACTGGTTCACGGAATCGCCTATTGATAGAGAAAACAAAGTTTCGGATTAAATTAAACTCTTGAAACTATATCATTTTCAATTGCGCTTACAGCATTACATCACCTTACCACAGTCCCATTCGAATTTCCTCTAGAGGGGGAAATGTGGTGCAGTGTTAATTCTGTGCAATTTATGACGTCATGTTTATTAAAGTCAGTTATTCTAATTTAGGATCACAAGGTCGTTGCTGACCTGCCAAACCAAGGTTTAGTTTCTACGCAGTTTATTTCTCACTTTCTCTTCAACTTATGTAGGGTTAAAGTCGATATAGTTTATTTGTCATGACTTTACGTATATCATTATTTATCTAGATGTTTATATACAAGACGAATTGAATCTGGGTAAACTTTAACTTAGTCTTCTGAATTATCACAATTTATCATTAGTTATCATAAGCAGTAATTTATCATTATTTACTCACCTATTTGCATTTTCATCATGGCGGAGCCAGCTGAAAGAAAAGTGGGGGGAAAGAACCCACTGCATATATTGTTATTTTGGGACGCTCACGCCAGAGCCGCCGACTTATTGGGAGGAATGGATAATTAAAATCCACTGGTGAATGATTGCTAATATGATACAGATCCAGAGGTCTTTTACTTCGACGATACGTTGGATGCTACGGCGATTGCAGCGCTACCTGCGGACGTGAACAGGAAGAATCGCTTGGAATCGGAGAAAAAGTTGAAATCTAAGTTGTACCATTGTATTGGAGATGAAGCACAAAGAAACTTTAAGGCCCGTAAACCGGCGGTTAGTATTAAAACGGAGCAATACCCACGAGTTCTGGATGGGAAGCAGAATGTTTTCAAACGAGAGCGAAACGTTACACACGAGCGAGGATTATTTTACTGAAGAAAACAAAGAGATAACGAACCATTCAAGTAATTTCATGCAGGATTAAGTGCTTTTACCGGGAGATGTGATTTTGCTAACGCTGCTGAAAATATTCGAGACTTTTTCATCATGAACATGCGAGAATCCGATTGTCAAGGAGAATTGTCCCGATCTACCAAGTACCCAGAGGAAGTATATCGAGTCGAATTATCCTACGAGAGAAGCGAACCCGCCTATAAATCTTATACGGGAAAGCCGGCCTCGTCAGCGCCGCATATGACAATCAAGCAGGAGCCGGTTAGCAATATAAAGAGAGGTCAAGGATATTTTATAAACAGAGGACGCGGGGGACGAGAAGGATATACACTGGGGGCAAACAGTGCAGGAACCGGAAACCGTCGGTGCTATAACTGTGATGCACCAAACTTTACGCTGGATCACCTTGCCAACTGTTCGGCGAAAGGAGTAACGTGCAATGCTGGTCGAAAAGTAGGGCACTTCGAGCGAACATGTACGGGTTTGAGACGTGGAATTAACCATTGGAGGGGGACGAGGACGAGTTGGTTTTGTCCGGTATGAGAATGAGCATCACCGAAGCACACACAGTGTAGACAACACATAGGAGGAGCAAGTAGCCTGGGTCAATTAGCAGAAGAATATGGCGAGGAGATATCAACCTCCTCGGGGTCCGATGATTACATGGTGATGTCAATCAAGAAGATAAACGCGATGGAGCTCAAAATTCCGAATGCTCGAGTCGAAATTGAGGTGCCGGGAAAGAAGATGTGGCTCTGGGTTGATAGTGGGTCTCCGGTTACAATTTTCAGCATGACGGACCTGAAATCGGACCTGACGGCACCAGAGACAAGCCATTATGATGAGAACTTTACGTTACCAAAAATAGGAATGATTAACGCAACATTATATCCTAGGGACCAGTCAAATCCTAGGGGTCAAACAGTCAAAAATAAAATTCAAAAAATACCGGCGGTTGAGGGCTTACGAACATGCGTTCACTCACGCGAAAGAGTCGCATCCAATCAAAATATAGAGGAATTTGAATATGCAAAGGATAGACCGAATTGTGAGCGCTCACAAGAGGGCGTGGTTGCATGCAACCTGCGGTCAGCCAATCAGAAACAAGATATTTACATACCGAAGGATATATGCAAATTGCGCAATAAACAAAACAGACGTTGTTCTCAATCAGCTAAGTACAATTGCTTATTCAAACAAGATTATCAATTATTTCAAACCTACCAACATGTCTGCTACTAAGTCGCCAGAAAAGTTAGATCAAAAACATTTCACTATTGTAAATACGTCAACTCAGTCTGGAAATGTCAATCTTAATGTTGTTTTAAACCGAATTCCAAATCAACCGCCTAGTTTAAGTTCCGATTCGGACATTGAAGTTATACCACCAGAGAAAGTACCGCCCAAAACTAACACCTCAAAGAAAAAATAACACCATTATATCAGTTTTTTTGGTCTCTCTTATTCTCTTGTAAATAGCGAAAAAAGGGTTTGTTGTATCATTCCAAGCGATAGCAAAATAGTCAAGATAATCGAGTATCCTTAAATCCTAAACCTGAAATGTGGAGGCCAACCTGGAGAAAGACCCAATTTTGAAGACAATTCGGGATGCGATTAGGGACAGGAATCAAAGGGACAAAAGAAGTGATTACTAAACTCGGACAGTACTACGCGCAACATTATAACGACTGCTCAGTAAGAGAAAAATTCCTTTGGATGGACGGCCAGCTGGCAATACCGAATGATTTGTCGACTTCCATACTTGAAAGACTGCACCACAATCACCACGGCCGAGATAAAAAGTTCGCGGCGGCGAAAGACGTTTGGATCCCGTTAAGGCATCGGAATCTCTCGACAACCGCTAAATTCTGCAAGAACTGCTTGGAAGAGGGTAAATATCCTAAACCGGATATACCCAAAGGTGACATAGGTGTAACATATAAACTTAAGGAACCAAACGATTTGGTAGAACTGGATTTCTGGGGTCCGGTAAACTATGTACAAGGGCGAAAGAAATATGTCTTAGTAGCGGTAGACGCTTTTTCACACTGGCCATCGGCATACGTTTTCTCAAGTAACAAACCAAAAAATGTCCTAAAATTCCTAAGGAAACATATTGATATACATGGGCACCCAAGGAAACCACATATGGATCAAGCGTCCGAATTCTTTTCAAATGAAATTCTAAATTTCTGCAATTAGGAGAGAATTGAGCTTTAAAAATCCCTGGCAAGAGACCACCGCGCATCTGGTATGGTTGAAAGAACCACCGGATCAATAAAAAATTACGTTTTAACGTACCTACGAGAGGACAAAAACCAAAAATTGAATAGAATGATACCCCGGGAAGCTAACACCATTTTCCGAAATCTTACGAAAAAACCATCACTTAAAAATCTCGACTGGACGAAAGACATTAACCAGAAACTACAATATTTAGATGAAGCGAACGGACTCCCTGAAGTGGAGTTAAACCTGGATTGGGAAAAACGAAGTGACATGGTGTACGCGCCCCACAACCGGAAAACTCCTCGGGTGTTGGAAGAACATGCGTTAGCGGAGGCGGACGCCTAATTAACCCATCCTAGCGCACCATCGTGGCTCAAACGTCACAAAACTAGCACTACAGTGGTATCAACAAACTAGGGCTATGGATCCGAAGGACCCAAGGAGGTATAAACGTTTATCTTCTACTATAGAAAAACTAACACCACATACGGTGCAAATAAAAAAGGACCTTTTTAAGGCGAAGTGGTGTTTCGTTTAGATCAGCGGTCGAGGAAAGCCAAATAGCTCCAAAGGCGGAAAAAGGTCCTATAAAGAAAAACACCCCAGTCCGAGTAAAAATCTCGAACAAGGAGTCGCACCATCGGTCGAAGTTAATGTGTTACCATCCGGAGTCGAATAACTTCGAAATTATAAATCTATCACGTTTTTCGTTACCTTTACACTTTCGCTATTTATTAGTGGAGTTTGCCATCTTTTAACAAAGGAAATGAAGTGAACTTAAAAGCAATCAGAAATTAAACCGCGAAAAAGTAAATTAGAGCTTGAACAAATTTCAAGACTTCCTGAAAAAAAAAACAAATCATCGCGACCTATTAATGAATTTGAACTACATTCATCGACTGTTAAAAATCACATGACTTGAATAAGTGAACTTAAATTGATCCATTGATAATTGAGGTTCTGGAAAATAGAGGTGAAAAAAAACTGCATGCCTTTATAAATTGAAAGTTTAATTCGTTTATAAATACTTTAAAAACTTCAAGAGGTCATAACTGATTTGCTGTACTGGTCTGCCGATAAAACAACCACACGCCTGTTAATTTTAAAGCTCCAAGAGACAGCTTTTTGACATTATTGTAAAGAAAACTGCGAAGGTTAAGTAGAGAGAACCAAACATCTGAAGATGACTTCGGATATTGGGTACTGTCTTTTTAATCTTAGCCAGAATAACAACCTAACAAACTGGAAACTTGAACAAGTTTGCCCAAATGCTGCTTAAAGAGTTTATTTTCGTAAATCAGTTATAGACGACATAAATTCAGCAACTCAGGAGCAAAATGGACACCAGACAAGTCGACAGGCGAATAGAGAGCAGACCACTCGGAATACACTACAGTTTATTAGCCAGTATTCATCTTCTCATCTTCAACTTACACAGCAGAGAATAGGAAAAGCAGCTTCAGTGTCTCCCAATCCCTCTGCAGCACTTAGTACCTCACAGGGCCCTGTTCAAAAGCGAGAGGCTGCTTCAAAATTGCCATTGGGTTCCTAGGCGGAATCAGAAAGCTTGAGGGTCCCCCCAAATTATTTCTAGACGGGTCACCTGAAAAATACATAATCAATATCGCCAGCCAGTTCAATCACAACACAAACATAGCCAACAGGCTGTTAGAAAAGAATTAATGACTCAAAGAGACCGACTAATTTTGCACGTTCAAGTCTTGAAAGAAAAATGTATAACCTTAAGTATCACCCAGTGGTCATATCTTTGACCTTTGTCTATCCTCTTCAGATGATTAATTGATGCTTTGTAGAGTTTGTTCGCATGTTTGATTGTTAAATGTTTTTGTATGCATCATATCTGAAGAAGTAAATTCTTTCTTTCTGTCTTTCTTTAAGGCTCTCAGTGAATTTCAAGAAACTTATTTGATAGACAGTTTTTTTGATGAAAATAACTCAAATTGAAAAAACTGTTTTAACAGATAAATTTCTGTTTTGCTGAAAAAACTGAAAATTAAAATCAACTTACAAAACTAGAAGTCATTCACTCATGTTTTCTCGCGCCATTTGGACGCCGGTTATCCGAGAGCAATATTTGCCTGCTTTTTAACGAATGAAATTGACCTGAAATTTATGAGAAATCCAAAAAGAAATCTCCCTAAAAATTAGATTAGAAAAAAGCGTGAACATATTCGAGGACTTTTTTGTCAAAAAAAACGAAAAAATAAATACAATCTAAATAAAGGATAAATCACTACGTTTATTAACATTTAACAAAATAAAAAGTTCAGTTGTTTAAAACATGAAGAGCGGATTTGTTTCATATAATACCATCCATTAAATCATACATAACATAGCCTTTCAATCTACCTGATCTCATATTCGCCAACTGTAGTAACATTTCTCCTCCTGCTGCCGCCATGGCATTTGTACTGCCCCCACTTGGTCCGCTAGCTATACCACACTTGGCTTTGTACTTGGGCAACTCCAGGAGTAGCTCCTCCTGAAAACATAATCAACAATTACGGCACAAGCTAAGCACCAAATTTTAAATTTCTTTTTCAATCTTTTTCGACCAATAAATTATCAAAAAGTTTATTTATCTTGTAAAAACTGTTTGAACAAAGCAAACAGACAAATGGAGCACTGTCAATAAACTAAGAGACCGATTGAAAACAAATTCAACTTTCGAAGAACAAAATATATCACCTTAATCAAACTGAGTTTCCAAATCATTTATGATTTAGTGATGTAATCAGGGGCGGACAGTTGGAAAAGGGCCATGACCGCAAGGAAAGAAAAAAGACTGACTGAATTTCAAATTTCAAAAAAAGGGGCTTAAGGCTATTTGAATTTCAAGAACAAGTTATGATTGACACTTTTCTGATTAAAACTTCACCAATTTGAGAAGAGAAAACTGGATCAAAAGATAACTTATTTATTCCGCTGGGAAATCTGAAAGCTAAATCCATTTTCGAAACTAGAGGTCAATCACTTTTTCGTGAACTGCACACTTTTGCTTTCGGTATTAGAGATTGCCTTCCTTTTAACAAAGGAAATGAACTGAACTTAAAAAAATCAAAAGTTAAACCTCAAAGTATTTAAATTGAGCGTCAACAAAATGTAGGCATTTTCCCTGAAAAAACAAAAAATCACAAGACCGACAGTATTCACAATGTTCATGGCTCTTAATAAATCAATTCCTTCATTAACACGAAATGTGTGAGCATGCAATCAGTAGCTAAAAGCATCATACAAAAAAGATAAGACACAGGTGGTCTTTCGAAAAAAAAAAATCGAAAACTAAGCCGACAAAAATTAAACAGAGCCTGAGCGGAGCTTTGAATCACTTGCGATACAGAAATAAATGACTATGATTAAAAATTGAAAAAAAAAACCTTAAAAATTTTTTTCATTTTGTCAAAAAAAAGTTCTTTCAAGCTTTCAAAATACACTGAAACTTTTTTAATTTAAGTAAAAATGTGAAATTTTAGACCAGTTTGGTACTGCGGAAACTAAGCTGACAAAAAAGCAGACAAACAGAAGTCCGACAAAGATTTTTGAAGCGCGGACAAAATTTCGCTTACAAAAAAAAAGAGGTCCAGGCCGGATTCGAACCATTGACATTTACCTTTATAGGCAGATGCGTTACCTCTTCGCCACATGCGCGAATTAAAGTCCGACTTTTGGTTTCATATGAACCACCGGTAAAATGATTCTGTTAAACCGAAAAAAGTCTATATTCCGGTTTGATAACGCTTGCACCTGATATAAAAACGACCATTTTTAAAATGATTCAATCAACAACTTAAATACTACGTCAAACGATCTAATTTAGTCTAATTTAAAAAAAAAAAGAAGCAGTACTATATAAAATAGTTGGCACTAATGAGACATGCCCCGCAACAACTATTTGGAAAAGTGTCTAACAACTCAAGCGAACCGAAAACAATGATTGATTTTTTTAAACACTATTCGAACTTTCGATTTTGAATATATGAACAAAAAACAAAAAAATGCCGCCAAATTTAAATACTTCAGCCTAGTTTTTACGCAGAGGCGAAGCTAAAGCTTGGCAAACAAGGGCAAAAAATTGCCTAACATTCGGATACACAAAAGCTTTAAAATGCACAAAAAATGCACAAAAAGGTAATAAGCTAAAGGCAACATCACTAACTTTGCATGTAATAAATCAGAATAGATTAAACCAAATTGCGCGTATATAATGATTTTCAAAAATCTCGCGAAAAATATATCGAGTTGGAAAATTTCGGAAATTAGATTTTAAATATCTTACTGTTGTTTGAAACAAATATCTTTTTTCGGCTCATCTGATGAATATAAAATGCATCAACTGTTCTAACTTATCACTAACCAAAAAAGAAAGCACATATTATTATACTGCTAAAGCAACCTACTGCTTCAAAACTGCCACCAAAAGTAGCATTTTTCTTTGCGACTTAGTTTGGAAAAAAGGCGCATCGTCTATCACACTTCTCTACGCTCGTATAACTTATTTTTCATTTAGAAACTGAAATTGAATTAAGCTTCAAACAACCAAATTAAAGCCCGCGTGAACTACTTTTATGACTTTTTCCTGGAAAAAAAAACACAAAAATCAGAACGACCGAAGAAGTGTGTGCACTACTTTCATTGAAACTTTAAAACACAAAGGCGAAGCGGAGCTTTCCAACACTTGCGACACAATCAAAACATTGCCTTACATGATTTTTTTTTTAAAAACAGAAAATAAATTTAGTTTTGAAAAATTAAGCTGAAAAAACTACTTGAAATAAGTCGAAAAAAGAACATCTATAAAAATTTCTTGCCTTCGTTCCAGTTGATGTTCATAAAAAGCCCTAAAAAGCATTGAGAATTAATGACCGAGTGAAAAACTAAGTATACAAAAATTGGGTCGATCATCGTCAAGACGAAAACGAAACTGTAGTCATATCAAAACTTCAGAGCAATCAAACTTTAAAACTCATAAATTTTACAACCCATCCCTCCTGAAACTCACAAAAGCATTTGAAAAATATACAACTTGAATCTAATCTACACAATATAAATTACTAAGCCGATATAAAATAAGCTGATCCCGTTTAACGGAAAAAAATGAATGAAAATATTCAAAATCAGAGACGGTAATTTTCCTAACTACAGAACAACTTTAAATTCTGGTTAAAACAGTTTGAATGAAAAAAAAAACCAAAAACATTGGAGAGAAACCGCTTGAAAAACTTACCACATAATATAAATTGCATTTTGGAAACTACGGAAAACCAGCCGACAGAAATAAGGACAAACAGCGACCTGAAATGATCAAAGAGGAAGTTATATTTGAATTTTAAAGAATTTGATCATGTAAGCTCTTACATTATAAGAAATAAGCGCAAGTAGTGCAGTAACTTTCGCGCGCAAAATATGTAACATAAGTTGTTTACGGTGAAAAAAGTCTAGTTCCCGATTACAAGTCACTTGCTCTAGCAAGTGCAAAAATTAACCTAAATTGCGAAAGCCGAATGAATAGATAATTTATGTATTTCGCTGGTAAATCTTAAATTTAACATCGACTTTCCAAACTAAAAACCACGTTCTTAGCACAATACGCACTTTCGTAACTGAAAAACGCAAATTGACCTTAGCTAGCAAGTGACTTTGAATTATACTCGGAAAAACCAGAAGTCAACCGTGAAAACTCAAATTTGAACGCGAAATAAAATTAAGACTTTTTTGTGAAACATAGCCAACAGACAACTGGAATACAGAGGCTAAGCTGCACTTTGCAAACACAAGCGATAAAACGGCAAAAAGTAGCTCTACTGATGAATCGTATACTTCGTTAAAAATTGATCAACAAGATGTTAAAATTGATCTATTAGATATCCTTTTTTTCTAAAATGATTTCTTTCATTCCAGTGGATTTTGGGTGACTTACAAGTGAGTAATTATCTTCAGGGTGAACAATTCTGCTGTTAGGGGCGGGTGGGGGCACTTTGCCTGCAGCTGCAGCAGGTGGGTGAGATAATGATGATGGTGTGGATTGTAAAGAGGTGTTCGTGTTGCTGCCGCCGCCTCTGTTATTGGCATTGGTGGCTGAGGAGTCCGCTGCTGTCTCCGGCTGATGTACTCGCCTGCCGTTGGGGGAGGGAGACACTGCTGCTGTTGTCGAAGAATGACTCTGCTCGGGGTGCAGAGAAGACTCGTAGACTACTTGAGGCGGCTGACTTTGAGAGTGAATTGAAGCTACCTGCAACACAGCACACTAGCAGTGGTCAAATGCAGCTGTACGTGCACACTCACGTGAATACCGCTAACAAAAGTAGCAACCAATAGTTTGTTTTGTTACCGTTTTCGATTTTGGAAGAGGGAAAAACTCAACTGAAAAGAAAGCAGTTTTACTAGCTTTTTTTAACTTGCGAAAGAGTAAGGTTCAGTTAGGTTGAATTAAGTTCACAAGTGGACACTGTTTGACGGACCAAAAAACAAACTCAATCGGAACTCAGTAGAAATCAAACATTTATAGAGCCAAAAGCTGCTCGAAAAATATCAAAAACAACAGACTTTAAATAGGTGACTTTTGTCAACAGACAGTTATAATAGTGTACATGATAAAAAACAAAGAATATAGTTTTTCTGTTCACTTAAATTTCGAGCCTTAAATTAAAAAAAAACGACTCACCTCAAGGCTGTTTTTATTTTCAGTTTTAATTATTGGCACTACGAAAAAAATAGCCAATTTGACAGCTTACGTTGATTGCAGTGGCTGGAAAGAGTGGCCTTGCCGAGTTTGGTGGAGCAGGAAGAATGCCTGCTGGTGGTGGTTGTGGTGGGGCTTGTCTGCTGGCTACCAATTGTCCTCCGCCTCCCACTCCAATTAGAGCAGCTCTAAAATAAACACACCTTGTGGACACTACACTACTCTACAGTATATTAGTATATTACAGGCACACATTCCACACTACTCTTTTCTCACAATGCCCGCAAAGTTGGCAGCTGACAAACCATGGCCAACAAACAGAAAATTGTAATTGTAAAACAAAAAAGTGCTGATTGTTTAAACTTTCGTTTCCAAGAAATATATGCCCTAAAAATCTTCGAATTGCAAGAATAAAACATAGCCAACAGACAGTTAGAAAAGAGCAATGAACGCAAGTAGACAAAAAAAAATACTCTTTTTTGGAAAAAAAACCTGGAGAAACTTCTGAGAAAACTAGATCAAAATGAACTGAGCTTAAAAAAAATCATAAGTCAAACCGCGAAAAAGTAAATTTCGTCAGCACCTATTTAAGAGTTTGAGTTATGTTCATCAATTTTTAATTATGATGGACACTTTTATGAAACTGAAATTGAGCCAATATGAGATTTTCGAAGAAAATAATTTAACCACGTTGAAGCTCTGTAATTTTCAAAAAGATTTATGATCAACCCTTTTCATAAAACTTCGACTCTTTTTCCATCGACTCTTAAACAGTACCTTTTCGACCCAGGCATAGACGTTACCACAAGGCCCAGTGTGCCGAAGATGACGAGGAATTTTAATTTATAACACTGAGGCGAAAATACCTCACAAACAGAGCATTGCGAGTGGGTAGACAAAGGGAAACGAAAGCCAATAATTAAAACTACGAGTCGAAAAAACTGTAAGTCAAAATTTTGTCTCAAATGATGTTCAATTTAAGGAAAACACGTCCGGCAAAAAAGCCAGCATTAAGCGAACATAGCCAATCGAAGATTGGAAAAAGTAATGAACGCAAGTGAACAACAAAAAAAACACTGACTTTGTTGAAAATCTCAACTTCCGAATTTCAACGAAAAAATAGATGCCCTTTAAGCTCTTTGTATTTGTGGAACAATTTATGACTAGCGCTTTTTTGATAACATGAACCCAACTTGCGAAAACTGGATCAACAGGTAAAGTTTTTATGCCGCTGAAAATCTAAATGAAAATCTAAAAATTGAATTCCACTATCGAAACTAGAAATCGTCCACTTTTTTCGCGCCAGTTCCAGGTTCTTATTTGGAGAGTGCTATTTACGTATTTTTCAGCAGATGAATTTCAATGGAACTCAGAAAGTGCATATATACCTAAGTGCATTCATAAATGCATCAATATGCATGAATGCACATCTGTAGTTATTAAAGACTTTTCCGGAAAAAAAAACAAAAGAAAATCAGCAAGACCTATATAAGAGTCTTCACTACGTTCATTACTCTTAAACACTTATCGAACGACAATCAAGCCGACAAAACTGAAAAAGTAAACTACTGTTGAGCCGGAAACAAACTTAAGGTTCAGAAATTTCAAGAACCATTTGTATGTTTCTGGAGCGAGAGTCGTACAACTTGTGTTTCATTTCGAATAGCGCGAAATTAGGTCATTACACCAATAAAAAACTTAAGCAGAAACCGTTAAAGCCGAATTAAGCTTTCAAGCGAACAAAAAAGTAGAATATACAATTACAGGGATAACTTCACAAAATATAGGAGTTTTAATAAAATTCTATTTAAACGAAAACTGTCTACAGCCCGAAAAAAAATAACCCGAAAACAGTATAATATTCCGATTTGATAACGCTTGCTAATCGAAAGCGTAATAAGGTAGCATTCGAAACTATTCAATTATTCTGTAGTACATGTTGTGTACATTGAGGTTTACGTTCCGATGTAAAAACGCCTGCTAATTACAAGCGTAAAACGCTATATAAGAAAATCTGGCAGCGGAAAATTAAACTTGACCGTGAACATCTGCTATTTTTCTCGAAAAATGAACAAATAAGTGTCTGCATATTTAAGTCGGGTAGTTTTTATCTGCTCATTGTTAATATTGGCACTTAACAAAAGTGACCTCATTATGCGTGTAAGAGAATAATGACCAAAACCAATCAGCATATGGAGGTTGCTTATTCACAATCATTTGCCTTTTTTCATTTTGTTTCCGACAACTGGAAGATGGAAAGGAACATTGGACTCGGGTCAGTTATTTTCCAGCCTATTTTGATTAAACCAAGAAGAGCTGTTATCGTATTAACCCAATTTTTGGTCGTGATTTGGATTGAAAAACTTCAAAGAAGTTCTCAGAGTGTCGAAAAAACCTGAGTTTCTTTTTGTTTTTCAGACTAAATTACATCAAATTTAAAAGAGGCTGACCTCCTAAGTAGAAGGTTATATTAATTAAAGTTACCGGCTTTTTTTAGAATATTAGAATTTTTCTTATATTAGTTTGGTCAGAACATTCTGAGCTACTTCCACATCAACCGGCTCTCCTTATCGTCTTTATCCGACTAAGCGTAGTGAGTGGTGATGGGGGAAAAAGACACTGAAACATCAAAAAAGGCGTTGAAGGGTTTAGGTGTCTCACCTGCTGGTCATTTGAGGCTGCATCATCATAGGCACAACTCCGTGCATAGGCATGCGTAGCCCGTGCATCATGCCGGCACCTGGATGCATGCCTGGAGGCAGGGCCATCGCGTGTCCCCCCACGGCTATGGCTGCTGCAGGGTGGTGTTGAAGTCCCCCCATGGAGACAGCAGGGTGGGGATGGTGGGTAGGTTGGTGAGGAGTAGGGGCCATCATGGCCATGCCATGGGGGGAGCAATCACTAGCCCCAGTGCCGACATCCCCGTTGGCTTCTAAAAACAGGACATCAAAGTTTAACAACTCGAAACTGACCACTAATTTACATTTGATGTTAACAATAGAGTTCTGAAACCATAATTTGTGACTAGCTTCAGAGCTTCCAACAGCTCATTGCAGCAGCTAACTTTCAGCTCTTATTGTAGCTAAACCAATTGATTGTACTCGAGCGCGTGTGCTTGTGAGAGTGAGAGAGAATTAGGCAATTTTCGTTCTCATCAACTTTGTTGTTGTAGTCTTTTTGAGTTGGATTTTGAAAACCCGTTCTAGGGATCATGTTGCAGCATCTAGCTTTATAGTTTCCAGCTACGACTTTCAAATATATCAATCAACGACTTTCAATCAGTGTACTCGCTGTTGTTTAAGCTCTAACTAAGAACTTAAGAAAAAATGATAAGGACAGAATAAATGATCGGATTTAATGATATTAATCTCTAAAAAGCGTATTTCCAAAGACAATTTTAGACACTATTTCTAAGTAAATTTATCAAAATATTGCATCAATCAAGCATGCAAGATTTCAGTTATCATCTATGAAAGCGTCAACGTTCAGTATCGAAGACTTAACTTCATGAGTCCTTGTTTGGACATACCAGTTCTCACTGTTTGCAATAAGTTGTGTTTAACCTTAACGGTATGAATTCCATCTCGAAAGAGCGAAATCACACAGATTATTTATGCAAAATGAAACAATCTCAGCGAGAAAAATGAAATTCGCAATGTGATAAATTTTCTAAACTCAGTTCTTTCGTACATATTGACACCGCAAGGAAAACTTACTGTACATTTTGAGAACTGGGATCACAGATCCGGATGCAAATGGTTATTCTTTAACGAAACATTGATATAGTCATTTGCTCTTGGCCAAAGTAAAAAACTGCTGAAATTCTGCATGTTGTCTCAAAAACTCCATGAAAACACAACTAAAACATAGCCAATCGAAGATTGGAAAAGAGTAACCAACGCAAGGAAACTGAAAAAAAAACTGACTTTTTTTTCAAAAACCTTCAACTTTCGAAGAAAAAATAGATGGCCTTAACGCTCTTAGAATTTCTAGAACAATTTATGGTGGACACTTTTTTGTTAAAATTAACCCAATTTGAGAAAACTGGATCAATAGGCAAAACTTTTATTTCGCTGCGAAATCTGATAATTAATTTCCATTTTCGAAATTAGAAGTCGATCATGTTTTTCGTGACCTTTACATTTTTGCTGTTCGATAGTGGAGTTTGCCTTCCTTTAAACAATAGAAATGCACTGAAATCACAAGTCAAGCCACGAAAAATTTAAATTGAGCGAACAAATTAAAAAAAAAACAAAAAAAAAATCCGCAAGACTTATATAAGAGTACTCACTACGATCACTCTTAATTATGCACCAAATAACCCAGAACAGTCGCTAGTCTTATATTTGGCGACAGTTCAGTCGTAAATTTAATAATTTGGCGCTCCTTTTTTATTTCAGTCATATTGATTTCCAACAGGGGCACGCAAGATTTTTTAGACAGTACGAATGACTTCGATGGAAAATCTATTCAAACAAACTTCACTTATTTCGATAACCAGAAAGCAAGATAAACAGACATCCCCATTCATTTTCTTCTATTAGTTCAAAATAACAACAGTCCTCGCTCACATCAGGTATGCTACTTTTTAAAGGTTTATCTTCACTGCGAAACCCAGCCGAGTAATATTAAAGTATGTAATCTACTGGGTAAATCGAACAATTTGAATAACCCACCCACCGTTATAGTTAAGTTTATCTCTTTTCGGGGAACAAACGAAATTTTGTGGCGAAAATTATTACTGGCGGGAGTGTTTAATTCGGTTAATTTAAAACCTATGTTTATGAAAGAACGACTGCCTGAAAAACAGCGCGAGATTATCAACGAGGCGATTAAATATAACTTGATTTAGACAACGAATAACTGTCAGGTATAGTTTTTTCTGAAACATGAAAACACTGTTCATTTTAAAGGTGCTATAGTTAAAAACACAGCGGAGAAAAAACATGATTATGTTTATCAGGAAAAAATGCCAACTTTTTCATATGACCCTGTCGCAAAATCCAATCTGAAAAAATACCAACGAAACAGTTGATTGAGGAACGCCAAGCACGTCAATGAACACAAGGAAACCGAGAACAACATTTTGGACACTCAAGTATTGAAAAAAGTTACTCAACATGATAGCTATTTAAAATTCAAGAAACTTTTAAGATTTACCCTATTTTCATTACTTTTAAAAAACTGCAATTCGCAAACACAACTAAAAATGGCGAATGGGATCTTTCAAATGGCAAGAAAGTAAATAACTGAAATCGAGAGTTTTAGAGTTAACCGCCTTAAAAGTGGTGATAGGTACACTTGCTGTTAGATAAATACCAGCCACTAAAATAGTGACTATCATTTACCGAAGACCAGCTATATGAGAAATTGACACTAATTTATACAATTTAGATTGAAAAGAAATGGGAATAATAGAATAATACAATCGTTTGCTTGGGCAAATGAATGACTATTGATTAATAATAATGATAAATTGTTTTCAGGCTAATATACCAGTAAAAATGTTACAAAACCGCATTTCCAACCATTAAATATTCATCTGAGACATAGTCATGAGATTTTCTAGCCCGTTTAATTCTTCGTTGTGTAAAATATCTACTGGACAATTTTTTGTAATATTTTATTTAAAGTTGTGTACTACTTTTCCCGTCCTAACCTAATTGAGACGAATTTACGCTTAAATTTTTCAAATATTTTACCCAAAGCGAGAAGCAATCCAGTAAAAATTGTGGGGAAGGAAGTTATCTTAAACATTGTTTAACCGAGAAAAATTCATGCTTTGGGAAGCACGACGATGAAAATAAGCAGACAGATTTTGGTCCGATAATTGAGTATTTTCGAAAAAAAAAATTTTCCACGCTATAAAAATCCGCTCCTGGTCGGAAACGAAAATTATGACCTTCCACGTGGGATAAAATTGTAGGAAAACGTGAACTCTGCACACAGCGTACCTGAAAAAACATGAACTAACCTGCTGCTTCTTGTGACTGTTTCCTGGCGTCGGCGTCTTTCTGGGGAATGCCCTCCATTCCATAGATTTCGATTTCAATGTTGTCTCGACCAGGATTTGCATTGGGTACCGCATCTATATTTTCTTTGTGCACCTAAAGTTAATGTGCGCCTAAAATTAATCCTGACCAACAGAGTAACACAGATAACGAGAGAGGGATGAAACAATATTAAATATAGAAGCAAAAGTTATTAAAAGACAGAGTCGAAGCTGAGCTTCTCGTCACTTTCGATACAAAAATGATTACAAAAAATCCAAAAATTGCAAAAAATCCAAATAAAATTCGCGACCGAAATTACCTGCACTATAAGAAACTTAATAAAGAGATTCCGGAATGCCAGAGAGAAGCCAAACTTTCGAATAGCCCGTTCTTCGGTAACTAAGCCGACAAACATAAGCAGCGAGATAATAGTCTAAATTAGCCGAAAAACTTCATTCAGCAAAAAAAACAGGTCCCGACTGGGTCGAACTCTCGGGCTCAGTCCTCTCAAGCATGAGTGTTACGGATGCGCCAAGTGCGCAGATTTCAAGAATTTCAATTTTTATTAAAGCAAGTAATACACGTGTAACATCTTCACGTGCGAATTCTGTGAACAATCTTGTTTAAGGGAAAAACTCTCTTAAGTTTCCTAACTTTTTTCGTGAGTTTCCATTTATAGTTGTCCCCAAAGCACGTCAAAAACATGCCGACACAGAGGCAAGGCGGGTCTTCGCACCGTTTGCCATACTACACAAACATAGCATTGCAAGCTACCAGACAAAAAATAACGAAAGCCAAATAGCAAAAATTGATAACTTTGTCTCGATAAAAAGTTTCACAATTTTGTCTCGAATTATATTCAATATGAGGTAAACACGTCCAAGAAAGAAACCGCTTAGATGATATAATATTTTAGAACTACATATCGATCCGCAACTAAGTCGACCACACTTGGATATACTCTCGTTGAGCCGTAAGCGAAGTTGTCATGAAAAACTTTAAGACTTTTTGAAAAACTTTGATTTTTTTCAACCTTTTTATGTGTTTCCACAATTGGAGGCAAAAGAATATTGTTTCCTCACAAACGACCAAAATTTAGGTCATTAAAAGAGCTTTTAAGCAAAAACAAAGAAGGAAAACAAACGTCAGTGCTCGAATATTTGAAAAGTACAGGAAGAAATCAAAATTACTTGTAACAATCTGATAAAACGCTTGCATTACAAGTATATTCCGCGATGCGGCAACTGAGCCGACAAAACGTAAGACATACGATGAGTCGAGAATTTTTTTGAAACGGATTATTTTTAGTTAGAAAAAACAGGTCCTGTCAAGATTCGGACTTTGATGTCCGGGCGAAGTCGTTAACTTAAGGTCAAAAATGCCAGAGAAGCAAATAAATTGAAACTTATTGCAAATCAAGCTATGAAGTGATTGTGCTGAACAAGATAGTAACTTGAAAAAGTCTATATTCCGATATGATAACGCTGACTAATCGCAAGTTTAAAAAAAGACTATATCTATTAAAACTGTTACACTTTTAAGCTGAACATATTGAGAAGAACATGCCAAGTAAGACAACTGAATGCTTAATTAGCATCGCAAAAAAAATTTGAGAAGTGTATCAAAGCCGAATGCAAAAAAAATGAAACTAAACTTAAATCCAAACCGGAGTTAGTAATTTTACAATCAACATTAAAAAAAAATTCGACACAGAGAAGCGCTTCGCAAACACTAGCCACAACACGACAAAAACAGCTGTATAATTTGCAATAAGAAAATTATTGCTAAATTCTATACATTATTTGAATGCGTGTGACAGCTATCTCCGTGTTTAAGTTATTTCGATAATGCTTGTTTAACGAAAAAAAAAATCACGTTAAAGCTATATCGAATATTGTACTGGTTAATATTTTTTTCATTTTCCGGTTTCACCGAGTTTAAAATGAGCAGCCTCGTAGTGAGATACTGTCAAGGTCTTCGAAGGGTTGCGAATTTCTTTGACCTCCAGTTATGATTGCCGAAATCCTTTTAGTGTACGAGATCCGATTTTTGTGGGTTTTTCAAAATGTTTCGAGAACACAAATTACAAAATACGTCCAAGATTTGAAACTCCCAGCCCTGTAGTTGGCTACTGTGAGAGTACTGAGTGTCAAATCTTGCGTCTAAATTCGACTGCTCAATGGCTTTTAGTTTTCGAGATGTGACATTGTTTTGTCATTTTAAAATTATTCAAAGAACATTATATGCGGTTTTTATAAGTTGTTAACAATTCGAAGCATCGGAGGTGCGTAACACGCTAATACCGATAAAGATGAGATAATATTTTCCAAATTTGAACCCCACTAAAATTTCTATTTTGAATCTCACAAATTAGACATCAATTACTTTAATTAGCAAGCGTTATCATATCAGAACAAAGACTTTTTCCAGGTAAACATCTTGCCTTACAGAATCACTGATTCATTTTCTGAAGTCTGTATTTTCGTCGACATGATTTGAGCATGTCAATAATTTTTAAACACCCACTCTAGTTACACTTCAAGGTTGCGAGCGTTAGTGTATCAGAACGAGCCTTCTTTTTTTTCTAACAAAACTATCAAATAAAAGTGTTCACTAAAAGTGTTCAATTATTCGGTGAAACTTTTGCTATAATCACGATTTGTAGCATTTGAAATTTCATTGCATCTGTTTTCTTTATTTGTGGCTAGTGTATATGATTGAATAAGCGTCCGTGGCTGAGTGGTTAGAGAGTAGATTCAGATCGAAACCGAGACGTAGTTGAATTTTAACTAATTCGAGGCTAATCTCCACTTTTCTAATTGACTTTATAGAGCTGCTTTTTGTCGTGTTCTCGCTAGTGTTTGCGAAGCAAACCTTCGCCTCTGTGTCATATATGTTATTCAAACAAAATTATAAAACTTACACTTAAAGACTAGTCTGACTACACAAAAACCGGTTACTGCCAGACTCTATGATCCTAGAAGTAACTTCTTCGAGATGTCTTTGACAAAAAAATCCGGTATTTCCTCATAGTACTCTTAACATAAAGAAAAACATTTTACATATCGAAACTTTATATCAAGTCCGTTTCAAAATAGTAACCGTAAATCGTGTTTTTTTTCTAGCTCTTGTCGGCATATTTGGAAGAAAAATTCGCAACCCTCGAGAGTACTCTGGCAGCGCCCAACTACAGGGTTGGGAATTTCAAACTTTAAGAATAATTTTAAAATTTGAGTTTTCTTAAAAACTTTGAAAAAATCACAAAAATTGTCGTATCTCTTACACTAAAAGGATTTTGGCATTCATAATTGGAGGTCAAATAAAATCGCAACCCCTGGGAGACCCTGACAGCATCTCACTATTGGGCTACTTATTGTTTACTCGGTGAAACCGGAAAATCGAAAAAAATTCTTTCGTTAAACATGCGAAACTGAAATAGCTTAAGCATGGGGAGATAGCTGTCACACGAATTTAAATATAGTATAAAAAGATATAGATAGATTAAAATCACTGGTTAGTGTTTTCGGTTGGTGAAGCTGAACGAAACTACTAAGCTGAATTAGTTTATGGAACTGAATTAACATCGAATAATCAAGCTGAATTAAGAGCTGTGTTGAAACAAAATATGAACCTGCATGCAATGTATCTGCAGTCCCGGGCCCGTGTACAGCTTCTTATGACATATATGACACTTGAAATGCTTGGCCCTTTGGTGCTGCAGCAGAATCTTTTCATCGTCGAATTCCCTGTCACAGTACCTGCAAAACGCATTAGCTCACACAGTTGCCCTCGACAAAGCATTTGATCTAAGATTAATGAGCAAGTGGCTATTTTGGTTTTAAAGCATTTTTTTTTTTTAAGAAAACACATTCAAATCTTCTTCATTTAATTTTCCGTTATTTTTTCTTTGAAGGGATATGATAGAATGAAGTAATATGCCAAAAGACTAGGGTAGCCATAGCTTGAAAAACTGTAAAATCAGGCTGCTCCATCTCTTCCTTATTCTCTCCCCCGCAGTAAACTTATTTGGAAAATGGAAATATTTAGACTAGTTCTTCTCGACAGAGAGCGCTGATTCGGAATTTCTTTCTGAATACAAATCAAGACTGAAAAGTGTTTTAAATTAATAATCTTCTTTCTGTCTATTCTTCATTCTTTGATCTGATACATCATGACCCGAAAGAAAGATTATTTATGGTACGGTATCTTGTTTTGCAAGGACAACAAGAAACTACCTGTCACCATTTTAAAAATCTGACATTAAGTCTCGTGAAAAAACATAAGCACTTCCTCACCAACACCACGGTTTAGTTTGTTTCTTCTTTTTCCGGCCCATTTAATCTGAAATACCACAAAAGGATCATCATACTAGTTTGAACAGACAACTGATCTGTTAGACATTACCCGCAGCATACTAACAAGGAGTCAAAGACACGTGTCTTTTCCCATTACACTTACCCATCCCGGAAATTCAAACTTCATCCATTGTAGTTTTTTCTTTTTTCTTCAAAGGTAATCAGAATGTCAAAAGTATCATAGTAACCGAGGTAACAGTCAGGAGTCCCGAGTCCCTTCATCACATATTCCACTCAAAATCCTTAGAATTTTCAAGATATAATAATAATAATAATAATAACAAAGGATTTAGGAATATAATCCAAGGGTTCGCATAAAACCCAGTCATTGCATTGTTCAAAGTTAAGATTACAGTTATAAATGTAAGTTTTTTCAGGTCTCCACAGTTGTTGCATTCGCATAAAATGCGCCAAGTGCATGTGTCTGATTCGTTGTAGCGAGTTTTGGAAAACTTTGCGTACATTCCTAGAAGTCTGTTTTTGCATTCTGGGTCAAACAATATGTCACATTTGAAGTATTTGTTGTACAGATTGGCAAGACGACATGCCCGAAACCAGAAATCCGACTGGCACTTCTTCAGACGCATGTTTGCAGACGAAATTTCGTGTCATTTGAGCTCTTCGGTTTCCAACGTCAGTGATGCTTACATGGCTTCTCCAGTCGATGTCAACTTTTCCAGCTAGTATTTTTGCAAACAGCAGTCCAACATGAAGCTCTTGGTATAGAGACAAATGAAGAATGTTAAGTTTCACGAGTTTGTCTTTATGGGAGATATGGCTATTGCTTGTCATGAAAATCCATCCAAGGAGCTAGTTCAGACCTGTGTTTTGTAGTAGTAGGTAGCACGTCCTGTAGTATTTCGTATAACCACTAGTACCAATGATCGAGCATCAGTTCAACGTTGCTCAAGCAAAATGGTTGGAAGGAGTGTTGACGAATGAATTCATTCACTTCTTCCCAGTTTGCTTTCTTGTACGCGAAAATGCCAAAATCTAGTTTTTGTTTGATAGCTGGTGTCTTTTTATGAACAGGTCGGTAGTCAAATGAGACTTTGGCATGGAGTGGCGAATCGTCGGAACTGAATAGACTACTCAGATTGTTGTCAAGTTTTACGCTGGTGACAAATTGCGGTTTCTTACTAAGGAGAACGTCTAGTGATTTTCCATCAGGGGTTTTTATTAGTTGTTAGAAAGTTTGACTCACAGAGTTCGTCAAGGATTGACTGCTCATCTAGAGAAGTTGAAGTTTTTGACGGCCAGTGTGTACAGTTAATAGTTATATCTCCAACTATATACGAACAAATTGCACTTTGTTCGAATTGCTTACGCATCAGGAATTTTAGGAATTCGATTAGATCTGAGATGTCCCACGTGTAGGTACGGTTTGAAGGAGCACTCTAGATGCAGCATATAAAAATCGGCTTGTTCAGGGATATGCGGATGACACCACAATCTTGAAACGAGGAATTAATTTGGCTACTTGGAATGTTACGGTTTACTGCGCTATGAGTACGCCACCAGGTTTTGTCAAGCCTTTGTCACTCGGTCTGTCATTTCGGTGGACAACGTAGTTTGTCAGAAAAAAGTGCAGCGTCGGCGATGCTTTCTGTCAACCAGGTTTCAGTTAGGCAGATGACTTGATAAGCGTTTTTTACTTGCACAGCATTAGAGAAGGTTGTCCGCCGTTGATACTAAAGAATACTACTGACATTGTAAACAAGGATATTCATCGTCGCTGCTAGTCAATTGGGTGCTTCGGGATCTGGAAGTTTCTCTTTTATCCATTTTCTACCTTTTCGAATGTACAGAGTTGCATCGTGGACTCTTATGTCCTCTCTGTCTACAGATTTGTCGCTGATAAGTTGCCTTCTTCTGGCGAGGGCAAGGTTTTCTTGATCAGCTTCTTTCTTCGTCAGTTGTCGGCTGAGGAAAATTGGTTGAGGGGAATTTTCAGTTTCCTTGCAGATAGCAATATCATTCGTCGTTGGTATGCATTGGGTTTTTTTAATAGGATTGTTCTTGTCTTGTTCTCGTCATATCGACCCAGGCTTATGATATCGCCAATTGAGGCATTGACATCCATATGGTCAATACTTTTTGAACATCGGCGAGATCGTGTTCTTGGCGCAACCTTGCTTCCTTCTCCGTTGATTCAGGGATTCCTCGCATGCGAATTCCATCGAGTTCCTCGCCGGGTTTCGGTGGCGGTTTTTGGCGACTGGCAATTGAGCTAGGCTGGGTTGGATAATCTGAATCAGGTTGTTTTGTGGTTAGCAGCGTTTTGATTTCGGTCACTGTTTTTTTGAGCTCAGTCATTTCGTTTTCCAGGGGTTTTAGTTGAGTTTCTCGAAGTTCTTTTGAGGTTGTAGTTTCATGGGCAGCTTGGACCAAATTATCTCGACGTTTTTTTTTCAACGCATTTGTTGCATATCAATAGAGCATTTTTTCCTAAGGCTGGTACTCCATCGACAGCGGCTTCACTTAGACCAGTGCAGTCTTCATTCAGGTGCATTCGACAACCACAGCAAAAGCAGTCGAAAGAGCTTTCATTTTTAAGGATTTTCTCGCAGCACGTACTAAAAGAATCAGAGACTGACTTGACCTGATTTCGGGTGTTATTCTTAGACATCTTAAAATTTTAAAAGGGGCTCAACGCCTGCTGAAATTTTAAGGTTTAGGACTCAGATTTGCGTACCTGTATAGAATTTTTGCCGTTTAGCTTCGCGATATTTCGCCAGCCGTTCGACGCTTCGTGCCACTTGTTTTGAAGTGTATTGAAGTCGGGAAAATAGTGCAGCACAGTAGCTAGAGTCCTCGACTCTATGTCAGCAACCTGGTGCAGTTTTCGGTATTCGGCAATTAACGATTCGACAATTCTTTCGGAAGCACTGATAATGTGCTTGGTCACGTCCATGACGTAACAGTCTAATGAATTAAGAAGATCGTCGAATATGTAGGGAGCACCTTTGCGTTGACAGGTAACGACGCAAAAGAGGTTTGGAATAGTCTTAAGGGTCGCAATCAGTTTTTCGATTGTTGGAGGTATGTTGCCTTTTTTTCGGGTGCGATGTTATTGTGTTGTTTAATGAATCGTGCCAGAGAACAATTTTGTAGTTCCTGAGAGGGGTTGATGTAAGGTAATCGAGGCAGTAATTTGACGAGCTAGGGTCAAGATTCAGATCACGGAAAGGGTGAACAGGATCAGCAAGCTTATCATGTTTCGATTGTGTGAGTTTATTGATAGAATGGTAAAGAGAACTTGCACCTTCTATTTTGATCATAAGGTATAGAGACTTAAAAAAATAAATAATCAAACAAAATTGGAATAAACTCAGCTGATTGGGAAATGGGATGGTGAATACAGCAAGTCGGAAGCCGTCCAGAGTGTAGTTCCACCCAGTTTCCAGTGATAAGTAATCCAGAAAATATCGTCGTGATCAAACTTTTCGACGATTCAACATTGACTATTGGGGCCACCACGGCTGCCCCTTGTATTCGTTTTTAACTGAAACTATATGGAAGTGATAATAATAAAAAGGAGAAGATTAGTGTTGATGTGTTTAAAATTAAACTCGATACTAGTTACGTTTCTTCAATAAGAACACGCAACTCAATACGAGAGGATATATATGAATATATATTGCATTACAAATATAAAAAAAAATCGTCCTTAGTTGTGTTGTCATTTTTTGTGCCGAGTAGATTGCCAGGGAGATTCCGTTTTAAAAAAACTTTTTGCTTTGAGTTCTCAGTACTCATGCTTGGGTTCTTACGTGCTAGGGCTGGTGCGTATTCATAGGTCCCAAAAAGAAAAATCCGTCCCATAAGTCCCATAATAATTAATCAGTCACATAAGTTCCAAATCGTTTCAATAGGTCGAAAGACTAATTTAGACGAGTTTCGGTTTAAGGTCGCCAGTGGGCGCGCTTCGCGGCAATAACCGGCTCTATATTCCGTATAGTCTTGCCCTGTTTGCAAACTCGCAGCACGTTGGTGCGGCTGCATCTGTCACCATTCTGCACTTGAGTTTCTGCTACTTGAACTATAATCAATCAAACCATAAATTCGTTGGCTCAAAGTTCAACCAATCAGAATTTGAGAAGATAAATTTTGGGACTTCTGTGACTGATTTTTTATTTTGGGAGCTATGAGTATTAGGATCTATGGGATTTCACTCTGGTGCCGACAGCAATTTGAATCACAACACGTAGCAATTTGAAAAAGGTATCAACCAACTATTAAGTCTTTATATTGTTATGTTTTTGCTCTTCCAGTTCAGCAGCAGCCGAACCAGGATTAGAAACCGACCCCGCACTAATCCTACTTGGCGCATGGAAGTCTACTACTGTTACATCCCTAAGAGCTGTATACCAACAGCCCATGAAGCGAGCTGTATACCAACAGCCTACTAAAATAGAGGGAATAGGTGTCGAAAGTAAACTCTGCTTTAAAAAGGAATTTGAGCCAAGGAAGGCCAAGCCCACTGTGACATTCGACCAGAATAGCGGTCAAAATGCATGACGAAATAGAACTTTTCTTGGAGCAGTTCAGTGGGAGGATTGGCTGTTTCAGAGGATTAACTGTCTTATTTGATAAACTCTTCGAATTGGGAGAGGTCGGTTTTACTTGACATTTAAAGTTTTAAAAATTCGATCGTAAAGACACACGACCTTTTTTCTTTCGTGAATACAGAAAAAGCGCGAAATTCAACAGATTACAACTATTTTTAGTTAAATTTTATTAACACCGGATTGATTTCTTAGAGTATGAGAAGCAAGGAGTTGAGGGAAAAGGTTGATCCATCTCAGATGTATAAGATGATTTTTATCTACTGAGCAAAAACCAAATTAGTAAGATGATAAATAATAGCCCTCTTTTTACGAGTTACATCGTGGTCTAGGTATACTGAGACTAAGCGATGACTTCACTATTTTCGCATGTAACTAAGTTGACTTCCGCAATCTGTACGTGGACTTTGTCGACCCGAT